TGTCTCAGCTAGGCAATTAAATGTGAGCCTTTGTTATAAGACTTCAGATAACCAATCACCAGTGTCTTTCAGTTGTGAGCAATATTAGATTGGAAGCTTAGAAGCCAAACTTACTGGTCTATTCTCTTTTATTTAATTAACATCTAATTCCGGGGTTTGAGGAAAAGGCTGGATCTGTTTTATTCCTAGCTAAATGTCAGCCCATCCATGCGGTGGGCAGGGAGAACGTGAATCTTATTATAGAAATAATGTTCTCCATCAACATTTGCACTTATTAGAGTGGTGGATCAAGGCAATTTTTATTAAGCACACAAAGAGTCTTAGGTTCAAGGCTAGAATTCTGCGATAGACAAAATAGAACTCACTGTCATTAACTTGTGTAAAAGCAAGTCATTTCAATAGTCCAGACTATTTCTATGTCCTGGTTCGATGGGAAGTAACAAGCAAATGGACAATTCAGAGCATCTGCTCACCTCTGGGTACCCCTAATCTCATCCCCTATCCCCTGGCCCCAACTTCTAACCTTCTGGGTACCCTTGGTTCACCCCAACTAGGTGAGTGGTTGCATAAGCCACTTGCTTCATAATTCTGACACCCACGTTTTATCTTTGAAAGTAGAAACTTTATTTGATCTTTGGTACCACATGGTTCCTTGAGTACAGAATGTGGCCCCCAAGCACTGCCAGGTGTGGCTCCTGACACCACTCCCCACCCCCCAAAAAAGCACTGTAGCACTGTCCTCCCATTGTTCATGGATTTGCTCAAGTGGGCCCAGTAACGTCTCCATTGTGAGACTTCTTGCTACTGTGTTTGGCATATTGAATATATCACGAAGAGCTTGCCAGGTGCGGGTGAGATACTCTTGGTGGCTTGCCGGGCTCTCCAAGAGAGGGACAGGGGAATCGAACCCGGCTTGGCCGGGCAGGCCACGCGCAAGGCAAATGCCCTACTGCTATGCTATTGCTCCAATCCCCCCCCCCCCCAAAAAAAAGAGTAGAAACTAATTCTAAGGTTTTAATAAAGAGCATGAGAAGTGTGTAAGGTACTGGCACTGGGCTGTGGCCAGCAGATGCTGAGTAGCTGGTAGCTTGTGACCTGGCCCCGCTGACCCCATGCTCCCGCCCAGTGGCCGCTGCGTGGCTGTCAGAGAGAGCTGGGCTGGAGGGTGGGGGAGGAAGATGCAGGAGGCCTGGGTTTGAGCCCCAGCACCACCAGGAGCGGGCCTGAGAGGCCAGAGCAGAGGGACCTGGGCTCGTGACCTCACCATTCATCCATATTCGGGGGACAGGAGTAGCGCTCTGTTTTCCTTTGCGGGGCCCAGTGAGGCTGTGTCCAGAGAGTGTGGGCAGAGAAACAGCCTCACAGCGTTCCCGGGAGGCCTCGGTGGTGACCCCCAGGCTGCGGCCGCTGTCCTGGGAGGCCACTGCCTCTCGTGGGTTGCCGGCTGGGCCCTGAAGCTGCGGTTTTTATTCTATTCTGCTATGTCTGGGGCCACACCCGGGAGGGGGGATGCTCAGGACTTTCTCCTGGCTCTCTTTCACTATGGGGTCACTCCCGGCAAGGCTGGGAGACCATGTGTCGCCAAGGAGCGATGCTGGGCCAGCGGCCCACCCACTGTGCTATCCCACTGTCCTGACTGCCGCTTTGATTTATTTTTATTTAAATTAAAAAAAAAGTGTTTGGGATTGATGCTCCCGTGATTCACAATACTGATATTGGTGGTTTCTGCGGGCATGGCTCTCACAGCACACCCCTCCTCCAAGGACCCCTGCCCTCCCCCACGGCGCAGTTGGTGATTCGTTCGTTCTTCCGGGATCCGGTTTCTTTTTGCCCTTGGCTGCTCCCTTGCCATGTCTCTCTGAGTCCCCCCTACAAGATGGCTCTAGATTTGCCGTTTCCCTTCCGCCGTCACTCGGCGTGATGCCCTCGAGTTCCATGCGCGCCGCTGCCAACGCCTACTACATCTCTCAAATGTGAACTAAGCAAGTCAGCTTGTCTCGTCTAAGGGAAGCAATGACCCTACTGGGCATCACTGTCAAGATCAGTGAAAGCCCTGGTACCCCCATAGGAACCACCAAAGGAGCGTCTGTGTTTGTGTGTCCTGTAGTTCAGGTAACATGATTGCAACAGTGTTGCCTTTCAAGGTATTTAATAGTTTCAGCATTATGATTGCAACAGTGTTACCTTTCAAGGCATTTACTAACAAAGTTACTGCACGGGAGACCCTCACTAAATGCCTCAGGCCCTCTGCCTCTGTCCCTATCCACCTCTTCCTCTCCTCCTTCATCCCCTCACTACCTGTAACTCTCCAACTGTGGAACTAAAGATCAGGCATTTGTTTTCAGTAGATCATGTCCATTTGTTTCCTGTCTTAATATACTATAGATGAATGAGATTATTGGCATTTGTCCTCCCTCTGCGTGGTATTTCTCTTACCACGTTGTCTTCCAGTCCCCATCCAAGTTGCAGCAAAATGCAAGATTTCATCTTTTCTTAGAGCCACCTAGTATTCCGTTTGGCGACTATGCCACGACTTCTTTATCCAGTCACAGTAGTTGGGCATTTGGGTTGTTTCCATATTCTGGCCCTTGAACTAAGCACAGCAATGAATATTGATGTGGGCACATCACTTTGAATTACTGTTTTTGTCTTCTTTGTATAGAAGCCAAGAAATGGGATAGCTGGGTCATATAGAAGCACTATTTTTAATTTTTAAAGAGCATTGTTTTTTACAGCGGCTGAGCTAGATGATATTCCCATCAATAGTGAAAGAGGGTTCCTTTTCAGAACATTTCTGCCAGCGTCTGTGATTTCCAGTCTTTTTGATACGTGCCATTCTCACTGACATAAGATTATCCATTTTGATTCACATAAATAAATATCTGTGTGTATGAATGCATAGAAATGTATATGTACATATATATACATATAAGAAGAAAAAAGCTCAAATAAATAACCAACCTCACAACTTGAGAAACTAAAAACAAAACAAAACCAAAAGACAAAAAAGAAAAAAATCTGAGTCTCAAAGCAGAGGGAAGGAAGGAAATAGTGGCTCCAAGGTCCATGAAATCAGGAGCTGCTTTCTTAAAACAATTTATAAGTTTGGCAAACCTTTAGCTAGACTCAAGAGGGAAAAAGAGAAATACCCCAAAGTAAATGGGAGCAGAAATGAAAGGGGAGAAGTTATAGCTGATACCTCACAAATACAGAAGAGTGTAATCTTTTTGTATTTTGTATTTCGAAAGGAGTCACTGTGACTAACTCCCTACCACTAAGCTGGAGAACCTACAAGAAATGAATTCAGGGTTGGAATCCTGCAACTTCCCAAGACTGCGAGTCTGAAGAGACCAATCAGGGGCCAGGAAATTGAAAGAGTGACTGGAAAGCTTCCTAAGAACAAAGCCCAGGTCCAGAGCCCTTGGCCAGTGGTTTCTACCACACCTTAAAGAAAACTTGGAAAGAGCTTTCAGTAACAGAGGCAAGGGTAGGAATTCCCAGAGCTCAAGGCAAGCCCTGCAGCTCTAGGTGATTTCAAATGCAAATGCCTGTGTGGGGGCGACTCGGCAGAATTCAGAGCGAGAAGGGCCCAAGCCTTTGTTGGGAAATACAACAATTTAACTTCTGGAAACAAGCTCACAGCTTGGAACCCAGCGTGCCTATTTTGGATTAAATTGTCTATTAATTAAACTCAAATGATTTAAACATTCATCACACCTCCCAGAAAACAAAAACAAAACCCCCAAAATATCCCCGGGGTTTGTGAGAGAGAGAGAGAGAGAGAGAGAGAGAGACAGTACACAGGATCCTCTCACATACTATTCAGCATGTGGACACACAGGACTCACACACTCTTACACACACATGCACCAGGTGCAGAGACCAGGGTGATCTCATATGCACATTCTCTGTCTCACATGCTCATGCATGCACACACATACCCTGCAGAGGATTCACACACACACACACACACACACACACACACACACACACACACACACACACTCCAGTGTGTAAAAACCAGAGGATTCCCCCCTCTTTCTCTCTGTCACACACACACATGCACACACACACATATACACACCCTACAGAGTGCGGAGACCAGAGCAGTTCTTGCCCATACATGAACACACACACACACACACACACACACTCCAGTGTGTAAAAACCAGAGGATTCCCCCCTCTTTCTCTCTGTCACACACACACACGCACACACACACACACATATACACACCCTACAGAGTGCGGAGACCAGAGCAGTTCTTGCCCATACATGAACACACACACACACACACACACACACACACACACATACATTCCAGTGTGCAGACCAGGGCAGCCTTTGTCTCTGTCTCGGTCATACACACGCACACGCACACACACTCCAGTGTGTAAAAACCAGAGGATTCCCCCCTCTTTCTCTCTGTCTCACACACACACACACACACACACACACACACACACACACACCCTACAGAGTGCGGAGACCAGAGCAGTTCTTGCCCATACATGAACACACACACACAAACACACGCATACACAGGCACACACAGACATATACAAACACACAGTGGCTCACGCACAGAGGCTCACACACACAGGCACACACCGGCGCACACAACAGGCAGGCACACACACATGCACATGCACAAGCACACTCATGCTCACGTGCACGCACGCATGCACACACAACACACATGTACATGTACACACGCAACACGCACGCACGCACGCAGACGTACGCACACAAACACACACAGGCTCACACACGCACACAGGCGCGAGGCGCCTCCCGGGCCGCCCCGCCCGCCGGGCCGGCCGGCCGGCGGCGCTGCGCGGCGCGTTGGCAGTTGGCGAGCCCCCTGCGTCCCCCCGCGCTGCGCTCCTGCCCTTATTTGTTCAGTCGGCAACCCCGGCGCCCGGCCGCGCCCGCCCGCCCGTCCACCGCCCGTCCACCGCCCGCCTGCCCGCCCGGGACGCCGGAGCCGCGGAGCCGCCGCCGCCGACATGGGGCCGAAGAAGGGCCGCGGGGCGCCGGGCGCGAGCGCCGAGCCGGCCCCGACGTGCTGCGGCTGCCGCTTCCCGCTGCTGCCCGCGCTGCTGCAGCTGGCCCTGGGCCTGGGCGTCGCCGTGCTGGGCTTCCTCATGGCCAGCGTCAGCCCCTCCCTGCTGCTCAGGGACACCCCGCACTGGGCTGGGATCATCGTAAGCATCGGGGCGGCCAGTGGACACTAACCCGGGCTTGCATGCGCCCCCTCCCCAGCCTAACCGCCCTGCGCGCGCGCCCAGCCGAGCCCAGCCTGCCCGGGGCCTGGCCGCTGCTGTCCCCGCCTGGGCCTCTCCCGAAACCAGCCGCCTCGAGCAGGCAGGCGGGAGCGGCCGGTGCGGGGCCTCCGCGCGCCTGGGAAAGTCTTGGTCACTGTTACTGCTCAGTCCAAGGTTTCAGCAGTCCACGGGGCACAATCCCCCGCGAGGAGCACAGCCGGGATCCGGGGAGTCTAAAGTGGGACAGGGAGTGGTCAGGCCCGGGCTATTTGGGGCCCAGGGCTGTGCCTTCCGGGCCACAACTCAGCTGTCCTGGGGACAGCAGCCCATCAGGCCCTGCCTGCCCACGGGCGCCAGCTGTATGGGCCTGCCCCAAGGCCTCCCCTGTGCTGCTTCTGCCAGGCCTGCCCCTTCAAGCTCCATTTATGGAGCACCTGCTGTGTACCCCCCCATGGCCAGGCCTCCCCTGCGGTTCCTGCAGTGCCTGCCCCTCCTGTGTGCGGTTCTTTTAGTCCTGTTTCTCACACAGGAGTGGACAGGTCAGGCCTTGCAGGGGCTGTGAGCTGACCAGGGGTGCGGAGAGCCAAGCTGGCTAATTCCCCGGAGCCTCAGGCCATCCCCTCAGAGACGCTCCACCACCAGCCACCACCAGCTCTGTTTGGTCGTGGGTTTGAGTTTTTGCTTTGGGGTCCACACCCTGCGGTGCTCGGGGCTCGCTCCCAGCAGGGCTCCGGGACCCCATGGGCTGCAGGAGGATCGAGCCTGGGTTGGCCGTGTGCAAGCAAGCTTTGTGCCCACAGTACTGCCTCCCTGCCCGCAGGTCACATTATGGTCATGTGGCTTCTAACTGGTCTCCAGTGGTGATTGGCCGTGACTTGGCCCTTGCAGGTGGGCCTGGTCACTCCTCTTGGGGTGAGAAGCCGCAGACTCTGGGAGGTCCAAGGCCCTCTCAGGGCAGGGGGGACAGACGCCAGGTGGCCTGGTGCATCTCACTGCTGTCGCGGTCACAGATCACAGGCATGTCACAGGTGTGTCACAGGCGTGTCACAGGCGTGTGGTTGGTCACAGGTGTCAGAACACAGGGTGCATCCAGGAGCCCCGGTGCCCCCAGGATCTGCTCATGCCGGGGACAGACGTGGAGAGCTTTGCGGCAGGCCTCGGAGCCGCCACCTCCTGATTAAGGTTGTTGACACGCGCAAACTCCTGCCGAATAATTGGAAACTTTTAATTTGTGTACTAAGAATTCCCAGGAAATTACCATGATTGGAGTTTTCTAAATCAAGTGATTTTAAAAATAGCTTGTCAGGGAGATATGCTGAGTCTTTCCGTTATCTCTCGGGTCTCAGAGCTGGGTGGGCGGGCAGGCGGGGACGGGGGTGGGGGTGGGGGTGGGTGGGGGTGGGTCGGTGTTGCCTTTCAGGTTGCAGCTGGAGGGCAACCAGGACAGACAGACAGACGGGCAGATGGGCTTCCACTGGGGGTTGGGACCGGCTCTGGCTCTGTCCCTGCCTCATTTCAGCTCTGAAGCACAGAAAAGCCACCCTCCCCGCCCCCGTAAACAAAAAACAAGTGCGGGGGGCGGGGGGAGGGTATCTAGAAAGGTCTTGGGGCTGGAGCAGTACACAGCTGGTGGGGCGTTTGCCTTGCACGCGGCCAACCCGGGTTCGATTCCCAGCATCCCATAGGGTCCCCTGAGCACTGCCAGGAGTCATTCCTGAGTGCAGAGCCAGGATGAACCCCTGTGCATCGCCAGATGTGACCCCAAAAGCCAATATATATACATATATATATTACATATGTTATGTCACTGTCACTGTCCTCCCGTTGTTCATCGATTTGCTCGAGTGGGTTCAGTAACATCTCCATTGTGAGACTTGTTGTTACTGTGTTTGGCGTATCGAATACGTCATGGGGAGCTTGCCAGGCTTTGCCGTGTGGGCAAAAGCTTGCCAGGCTCTCTGAAAGGGGTGGAGGAATTGAACCTGGTTGGGTGGGCTGGCTGTGTGCAAGGCAAATGCCCTACCGCTGTACTGTCGCTCCAGCCCATATATATATTTATGGTCTTAATGCCGTGGGCACAGGCCTTGGGGCTCTGTGGGGCAGCTTTGCCCTGACTGCACTTACGAAGCACCAGGATCCCCCCAGCGGGCAGTGGCCTGTCCCCTTAGCGCCACTCCACCTGGACTGCTTATAGCTGTCCCACATCCTCTAGGTGCAGAGGTTTCTGCCTGCCTTCCTGTTTTCCAGACAAGCAGGGGTTGTCACCTGCAGGCGAGGGTGGTCCTGCCCCCCCAGCCCCTCCTGTGCCCTGCTGCACACCTGGTGGCCAGGTCCCCAGTTCCAAGCCTCCAGGGCAGGGGACACCTGGTGGGGAGGCAGAGAAGGCAGACCCGGTCTGAGGGGGTACCCCAGGCGTCCAGGTCTGAAGACCCCAGTGGGGCTGCTTGCACGGTTCCTCTGCTTTCTTCCTGACAGAACCAGGAGGAACCTGCGAATTCCTGCCTCGGGGATCTGTCCTGCTGAGAAAGTAAAGGGGCCTTTTCTGTCTTGGAGATCGGCAGCAGCTGTTGGCAAGCCAGATGCCCAAGGTCTTTTGAGCTGGTTCTAGTTGCTTTGGCTTTGTTTGGGGCCAACCCAGCTGTGCTCAGGGAGCACTCCTGGGAGGCTCGGGGAACATACATGGTGCTGGGGATGGAGGGTGTGTCGGCCACGTGCCGGGCCAGTGCCCTCTCTGCTGGGCCACCTCTCTGGCCAGCCCCTGGTCGCTGATTTTCAGGGGGGCGCCCCTCAGTGGTGCTGGGCTGCAGAGACCACTCCCCACTCTTCTCAGGGCGAGGGGCAGGGAGCCCCATGTTCAGGCTGCTGGTGCCTCGGGGACCCCCGGGGGCCTGTCTGGCAGGTCCATCCCCCCTCTGCCGTCTCTCCCTGACTGGAAGGAGCTTTTCTGTGGTGACTTGTGAAGTGCATGCAGCAGAGGCACAGCTGACAACACGCCCGTGTCCCTGTGTCCCCGAAGGGCAGGAGGCATCCAGGGGGCTTCGTCCTCAGGTGAATGTAATGAAGTGTGTGCGCCCGAACCTGGGTGGTCTGGGGGCTGTTTCGGGACGGATGGGTACTTTGGCTGCTCTCACGGGTCCCTGGGACCCCCCAGAGCTGTGGATTATCAGGCTGCTGCTTCCTGACGCTCTGGAGGTTGGTGAAAGCCAGGTTGGAGGGCAGGAAGCTCTGGAGGGCAGAGACAGGCCTGCCTAGTGGGTCCCACTGTGGAAAGGTTCCGGGCCAGTTCTGGGGGTCGTCTGCCCCTGGGCACCTCTTGGCGTATCTCACAGGTGGGCCACTGCCCTCCTGGGCTTCCAGGTTTCTCCTGTACAGAAGTTCAGCAGGGGGATTTCTGTTGGCCTACATCTGGGTGACCTGTTGACCGTCCAGGGGCTTCTGGCCTTCGACTGGAAAGGTGATGTGTGATAGGACACACCCACTTGGGGCTGGAGCGATAGCACAGCATGGAGGGCATTTGCCTTGCACGCGATTGACCCGGGTTCGATTCCCAGCATCCCATAGGGTCCCCTGAGCACAGCCAGGAGTGATTCCTGAGTGCAGAGCCAGGAGTGACAGGTGTGACCCAAAAAGCAAAAACAAACAAACAAAAGAGACACCCACCCTGTGGAAGTGCAGGAGAGCACAGTGGACTGTGTCCTTGTCTGTGTGCCCCAGAGAGGGGCCTCGGTTGGTTAAGCTCCCTGTGGGGAAGGGGTGAGGCCATGGGGGTGACGGTCGGGGGAGGATTCACATGTGAGGCATCAGGGCAGCGCATCCACAAGGGCCAGGAGACTCCACTGAGGTTTGTTCGCACCACGACTCAGGTCTGAACGGATGTTCGCTTGTCATTCTCTGTGATGGGAGCAGGGCAGGGACTGAAGCAGTCGTGATGGCGGGACTCTGCATCTTACTTGGATGAGCAGAACTTGGGCATAGCCGACGCCTCCCAGGCTGGAACTTTGACTCACTTCTCTCCATCCAGAAAAGTCTGCGTGGCTGTTCACCACCACGCAGAGCATCAGTCTGAAAATAATGAACCTCAGGAGACTTCCCGGCAGCTGACAGGCACATACCCTTATCGTATCTGATGGTAATGAATACTTCTGATTGAAAAATGCAACTTGCACATAGATTTTTAAATCCATTTACCTTTCAAGGCATTTCTCTGACAGGGATTCATTTCCTCTGTCATCTGGACTCTGAAGTCAATGTAAGAGCGGACTCCGGCCTCTCGTGTCCCGTGTGGGGGTCAGCGGGGGTCAGTCTCTCGGGCCTTGGTAGAGAAAGGAAAGAATTCCTCCAAGGAAAGTGGGGAGTCTCTTGCCCCCTACAGATGTTTAGCTGTTCCCACTCTCTCCCTTGCTTCCCTAGCCTGCGCAGCTGAAATAAAAACCTACGGGAAGTATCACATTAATCACAGCAGAAAAGTGCTTGGAAGGAAAGGAGGAACATTTCTTTTCTTTAATGCCATCTCAGGAATGGCTGCGAGACCTGTCAAGAATTTCAGTAACAATTTTCATAGGTTAGCCTAATGTATAGAATGGATTAAAAATAAAGGTGACTCAGATTTTTAAAATTTATTTCAATTTTTGTCTTAATGATAGGAGAGATTGGTTCTTTATTGATTTCAAAACAAAATATACCCCCAAAGTTCACCAGTAAATCTATGACATATAACAAGGAAAGATGCTGAATTAGCCTAATTTATATGTGCAGAAACAAGGGCCTGACTCGAACGAGTGGACCGTGGCTATAAAGAGAAGCTGGAAGAGATAAAGATTTGGAATTTGAGTTGAGTTTTATGGATAAATCCTAAAACAAGCCAGGAAGTTAAAAGCATGTCATTTGCAAGATAGGTATATGGCAGTTGAGATATTTAATCTGGAGTTATGTGTTAGGAT